ACCGACACTTCGCTGCCGTCGTTCTACATCCTCGTGTACGTCGACGACTTGGTCTTTGCCACTGCTGACACAGAGGCTCTCGCCCTGATGAAGACGGAGTTGCAGAAGAGACACACGTGCACAGACCTGGGTGAGCTGCGCAGTTACCTTGGCTTGCAGATCACCCGGGACAGAGCACGCCGCACCATCACACTGACTCAGTCACACATGGTGCAGCAGGTCCTTCAGCGCTTCGGCTTCACATGGTCCTCGCCACAGCCCACTCCTCTGGCTACAGGCCACTCGCTCTCTGCTTTACCTTCGGACGAGTCCGTAGAGCCGAGTGGTCCGTACATAGAGCTAGTGGGCTGCCTCATGTACCTGATGACCTGGACTCGACCTGACCATGCGTACCCTCTTTGCCTTCTGGCTCGCTACGTGGCTCCTGGTAGGCACCGAAAGGTGCACATGGATGCTGCTAAGAGGGTGTTGCGCTACTTGTGCAGTACATCGGGCATGGGGCTCGTGCTTGGAGTGCGGAGCCCAGTTGTCCTTACTGGGCACTCAGACTCGTCTTGGGTTGACGACCTGGCCACGCAGCGGTCGTCACAGGGTCACACGTTCAGCCTTTGCTCTGGCTCTATTTCATGGCGGTCTACACGTTCGTGTTCTGTTCTCAGCTCCAGTTGTGAGGCTGAGATCAACACCACAGTCATGGCTACACAGGAGCTACGCTGGCTCACCTACCTGCTGCCCGACTTGAGAGAGCGGCCTTGTTCTCCTCCAAATCTGTACGTAGACAACAAGGCCGCCATTTCCTTGTGTCAGGAGCAAAGACTGGAGCACAGACTGGAGCACAGACTGGAGCACATAACGAAGCATATCGCTCTGCATTACTTCCTTGCTCGAGAGTTGCAGCAGCGTGGTCAGCTTCGTCTTGCTCACGTGGCCACTCAGGCCAACACTGCTGATATATTCACCAAGGCACTTTTGTCGGGTGATCATCAGCGCTTTTGTTCTTTGTTAGGCCTTGTGCCTATGTTTCCTCACTTGCGTTAGACTTTGCTTTTACTGTGACCTATATATATATATATATAGATATACATGCTGCTTGTTCTTGCTAGGTAGTGATCACTTTGCTGTTGTTGGTATATATTACCCTCTACATGTTAATTGGCCTTGTGGCCCTTTGCTTTTGCTCAGTGTGTATGGTGACGTTGTGATCCACCCTGAGCCTGCTAGTTGTTTCTGACATGCTAAGCGTGCTAGCGCATACCGCAGCCCAACGCGCCCTGCTGCTCAGCGCGCTAGCGCACCCCACTACGAAGCGCGCCAGCGCGCCCCGCAGCTACGCGCGCCAGCGCGCCCCGCTACTAAGCGCGCCAGGGCGCCCCGCAACCCTAAATAAAAATAATTATTATTATAAAATTCAAAAAAAAAAAAAAAAACGCTTGTGTGCCCTATTGCCCAGCGCGCTGCTGCTGCATACGCTGCTACTGCTGCGCTGTGCCCTGCCGAGCAGCGCTGCCGAGGCTGAGCCACGCCGCCCAGTCCGAGCCGCCCTCCTGCTACTACTGCTGCTGCTGCTGCTCGTCCTACTGCTGCTGCTAGAGGTGCTGCTGGGAGTGCTGGAGGAGGTGCTGTTGGTGCTCTAGGTGGTGGACCTGCTACTTACCGTCACTGCCTGTCATGGCCACTATCACGGTAGTTGCAGCGGCTAGAGGTGGACAGCAGCTGTCATTGCCTCTCCCGGACGACCCCACCCCTTAGCAGTTTTGTAAGTGGGTTTTTCAGCGATGTAGTCCTGGTGGTGGAGGCTTAGGTTTTATGGGTACTACACAGCGGCGGCAGCAGCGTCCGCAGAGCACCTTCTCCCTGCAGCGGCCTCGCGACTGTGCTTCTCAGCGGTGCGTCCCTGGTTGTGTAGAGGCTGGTGCTCTAGGTGCTAGTTAGTCTGTTGTCGCTCCAGGTGCTAGTGAGTCCGCTGCAGCTCTAGGTGCTCGTGAGTCTGCCGACGCTCTAGGTGCTAGTGCGTCTACTAACACAGGTCCTGCCTCAGCTGAGGCCTTGCACACTTTTACGCTTGACTCAGGCGCGTTACGTTGCTTCTTTTGTGATTGCACCACAGTCACACCACTCGCAGCACCTCTCCCAGTCTAACTGGCTGACCCCACTGGGGGGCCCAGTAGTTGCGCAAGCCTCTACTATCCTCCCGTGTCCGACAGTCCCCTTCGGGTCTCTCTCAGGTCTCCACTTCCCCACGTTCTCAATGAACTTGTTGAGCAACGGAGTTCTCCAGGATGCATGGGTTGACACCTTCATTCGTGGAGAACAGCGTGTGGCAATCTGTAAGTGCTCACGGACTGGCCGTCACCTTGCTACGTTCACTCGTCAGCCTGTGTCCAGCCTGTACACACTGACCACCGCGTCTGCACAGGTGGCTGAGTCAGGTCAGGTGACTGTCTCTGGTCAGCTTGCAGCGCCTTGCTCGTGTCGGGTACCCTCTCACCAGGCTCTCCTCTGGCACCACCGCCTCGGTCACCTCTCGTTGCCGCGTCTCCATACCATGCACTCCTGTCTCCTTGTCTCTGGCCTTCCCATGTCCCTGCCCTCCCTACAGCGCTCGCCTGCACCGCCGTGCCTTCCCTGCATTGAGGGGCGATAGCGTGCCGCTCCTCACTCCTTCGAGTTTCCTCCGACCACTACTCATTTGCAGACTCTCCACACGGACGTTTGGGGCCCGGCCCTCGTCGGTGGAACGGACCAGGAGCGCTACTTCCTGCTGGTTGTTGACGACTACATACGCTACACCACTGTCTTCCCCTTGCGGCGCAAGACGGACGTCAGCGGTGTTTTGATCCCCTGGATCCGTGCTACTCGTTGCCAGCTGCGCAAGCGGTTTCGTCGGGACTTCCCAGTTCTACGTCTGCACTCTGACAGGGGCGGTGAGTTTGCTTCTGACCTCCTTGCGGAGTTTTGTCGAGACGAAGGCATCCGCTAGTCGTTCACGCTTCCGGCCTCTCCTCAGCAGAATGGGATTGCTGAGCGTCGCATTGGCTTGATCATGGAGATTGCTCATGCCTCCATGATCCATGCGGCTGCTCCCCACTTTCTGTCGCCGTTTGCGGTCCGATACGCTGCGCATCAGCTCAACCTCTAGCCCCGTGTCTCTAAGCCAAAGACCTCGCCCACGCTCCGGTGGACGGGGAAGGTTGGCGATGCGTCGGTGTTTTGGGTCTGGGGGGCGCTCTCCTTAATTTGCAATGCCAAAGCGAGCAATCTCTCCTCTCGCCAGGGCTGACTATTCAAAAAAATCCAGTCTGATGTTCTGGGGGCTCTGAAAAAAATTAGTCTAAGGCATATTTCCCAGAAAATGGCTACTCTGATTTTTCAGGTTCCGCAAAAACACAAGTCTGAAGTACTCAGAACACACTACAACCACTGCAGCACGACATTGCCACGAATGTAGCACCTGGGGCGCAGCGCTAACCGACTTTGCTGCGCCAGCACAGAGTTTCCCTCACTGACACCGCATAGCTGCAGTGATGGTCCCGTGTGAGTGAAAGAGCGAGCCAAGTTGGCAGATTTCAAAGGGAAAAGGGTGGCAAAAGTTGCCAAGGACAGATTCTGTGCGTGACAGCACCAGGCCCTACGATATCAGGAATTTTACCCTGAAATTCCTGATTTTCAGGGTTTTTTTTTTACCTACCCTGAAAATCCAGTGTTCAGCTTTTCCTAGGGCTGATTTTTCAGCCTTCACATGCCACATGACTCTGAACTTTCAGCAATTTTTTTGAAGTGACACTGATGCCTTTACGTTGTAACGAGTTTGACCCTGAAAGCGAATCCTACTAGGTACGAGTGTACTTGACCGGAAGTACTGGGAAAATCAGATTCCCGCGGTGTCAGCAGGGCCTGTCGTTGACTATCGGACAATTTTGCCCACACTGATGGCCCCTTAGTTGGCGCGCCTGGTCCGTTCATTGGCCACATTTGCAACATTAAGTGACTTGACCAATTACAAGGTTGCAGCACAGAGATGCTGGCAGGCTGCGCTGCGAGGGATTCTGGCGGTCTAGGTCGTGCTGGCAAGCACTGATGCATCCACGCCTCCCAGCCGTGCTACCTGCCATCCAGCCTCACATCCCGTTCTGCTGTTTGCTTCCTTCCTAGTGTTTTTACTACTAGTAAAATAAAGACTACCGTACTAGTATCAGCCTTTTTCTGTAGGGAACACTGATGTATCAGACTTTTTTTTAAGTAACACTGAACTTTCAGGCTTTTTTTTTAGGCGACCCTAACGATCAGGGTCTAGGGGCAGAGGGACCCTGATACCCTTACGTGCCTAAAAGTGAATCTGAGGGCCTGGACAGCACCATGAAGTGTGTTCATACACTGGCAACATATGATGTAGCGGAATGTACGTAGAAATTACAGATCCGCATTTCAGGATCCGTACTCCCTGTAGTTTGAAGACCCATTATCGGCTAAAAACAAGGAAGTCTGAGGTACTGATGTTTGAAAATCTTAAAAGTCTGAAAAATCAGGATCCGTAGGAAAATACCCTGAGATTTCAGACAATCAGACTATGTTAGTCTGATAAAGTCAGCCCTGCCTCTCGCACTCTCCGCTGCGTATTCCTTGGCTTCCCTACCGACGCCCCGCCGTGGCAATTCTACCACCCGCGCTCGCGTCGCGTCTTTTCCTCCCAGGACGTCACCTTTGACGAGTCTGTCTGTTACTACAGGCTACACCCGTGCGCGTCCCACCCGGTCCCCCTCTCGCCTCTCTTCCTGGTACCAGTCCCCCCCCCCCCCCCCCCCCCCGGTAGACCTCCTCAAAGTGTACCTGTGTTCTCTCTAGGCTATAGTGAGTACCTACAAGGGGTGCAACACTTTAGGGTTAGTACTTGTACCCAACTCCTTCATAGTTCATTCATTCCTGCACAGTTGATTGTGACACCAACATACACTACAATCAAGGGGTTTCAGGGTGGTTTACCCTGATATGTGAGAACATTCTCACGACCATCCGGTGCTTGCCAGGTGTCCCGAGTCTTCCGCAGCCAGTGAGACGAGCACGGGGCGGAAGGCAGAGGAGGCGGGGCAGCGCATGAGCAGCAGCACTCGTACGGAAGGAAGAAGCGCGGCAGAGGGCGAGGTGGTGGAGATGGAGGGGATGGTGGAGAGGGAGGGGATGGTGGAGGAGTACTGGCGGCACGCAGCTGCGTGCAAGGCTGATGCTCGCACACACCCAAGCGACACTCGGCTCTTGCTGCTCCGCGCCATGCAATGGGTGTTGGGGGATGCGTTGGGAGGTAGATGGAGAGGAAAGGGTGAAAGGGCAAACTTGCAAACCTTCCCTCCCCAAACAAGACATCTGATTAGCTACCTCGACCCAATTGTCACCACCATTCACACTCCACTGCTACCCTCCCTTGCCCAACCCCTCCCTCTACTCCCTCCACCCCCACACTCCCCCCACCTCCCTCAATACACCGACCTTCCCTCAAGCAATGCCCCCCCTGTCCACATGGCCTCACCTGCCTCGCGGTGCTGCACTCGTCACAAACCCAACCACTTCCCTAATCCCGCGCCTTGTCCCCCCACACCATTGACCCCCTCCCCTGGCTCCGTCGCCCTCCTTCCTCTGCAGCCCCTCTGTCTCCCTCAAGCTCGCCACATATTGCTCTTCCTCTGTGCCTCGCCGCCTCTCCCTCTGCTTCTGCTTCTGCACCTGCCGCTTCGTCTTCCGAGCCATGGCAACAGGTACGGAGCCGAGCCTGGTGCGGAGGAGAGAGGGAGGGAGGACAACTCCACGCCAGGCAGAGGCACGGACGCTGCCAGGGTAGACGGGCAGAGGCGGTAGTTGGAGGGGAAGGGCAAGAGCAAGAGTTGGGCCTAGGCGCAGGGGACTGGCACGAGGTGAGTGAACGCTCACAGCAGATCCGACGAGGATAGAGAAGATTGGAGTGGCACAGAGAGCACGCACATGGTGCACCCATGCTTACACATGCACACGTGGCACGTTTTATACGCATGGACATGCACATTTCTAATCATGCATGGACAAGCACACGTGGCACCTGTGCAAGGAAGGACCCACCCGTGCACAGAAGCCCCATTGCGTCGGAAGCAGAAGCGGTGGAAGTCTTGAGGCGACGGCACACACAGCTCTGCTGCTGCCTGCGCTGCCCCCCTGCCCGCCGGCACCACTCGCACCGCCACCATGCACGTCCCCTGCTGCTCATGCTGCCGTGGTGGCGCTGCGGTGCTTGAGAGCGCATGGAGGGGCAGTGGTGGGCATGCCGCAGGCGAGTCCACATCCATTGCCATGCCCACGCTCCCCCCTCCATGCCCATCCGCCACACATGCCCCACCAGCAGCATCAGCCCCTCTCTCCTCCCATGTGGTCGACCCTCTCTCCCTCTCCCCCACTCGCCTCCACTCCACACTCACCCGTGAGCCATGCGCCCCGCCCACCCGTGAGCCATGCGCCCCGCCCACCCGTGAGCCATGCGCCCCGCCCACCGCTCCCAGCTTCCACCCACCTCCTCCACTGCCCGCCTGCCCTGCGTGCCCTTTCCCGCCCTGGTCTGTGACACGCCCATCCACCCATAATCCCCTGCCGCCCCCCCCCTCACCGTCAGCAGCATCCCCGTGAGCAGCAGCACGAGAGCCGTGGCGCAGAGCAGCAGGCAGCAAGGCAGAGAGCGCGCGAGCAGAGCAGCGCGCCACCCTCAAGTCCATGTCCGCCTCTGCCTCCCCTCCACCCCCTTCTCTCCCTTCCCCCCCGTCTCTCCCTCTCTCTCCTCCTTCCCCCGCCCCTCCCCACGCGCCAGAAGCAGCAGCCCAAGCAGGCGGCAGGGGGGGGCACAGAGGGCGCTTGGAGGGTGGTGTGCGGTCATAGCGGGCGCGCTGCAGCAAATAGGAGGCTGCCACGTGGCACCTGTAGCCGAACGTCTCAGAGTAGTCGTAAGGAAAGAGAGGCAGACCCGCCTGTGCAAGAGAGGAGGTTGATAAGAAGGGGATCGGGGGGATAAGAGGGGGATTAAAGGGCAGTTACAGGGGGAAGAGAGGCAGAGAACGGGAGAGACATGTATTGGTTGGAACATATAAAGGAGAACAGGTGACTTTACTGCTGTGAAGAGCGACTCACCGCTGTGAAGAGCGACTCACCGCTGTGAAGAGCGACTCACCGCTGTGAAGAGCGACTCACCGCTGTGAAGAGCGACTCACCGCTGTGAAGAGCGACTCACCGCTGTGAAGAGCGACTCACCGCTGTGAAGAGCGACTCACCGCTGTGAAGAGCGTGTGCCTCTCGGCTAGCCCGATGGCATGTGCACCGTGCAGGATGAACGGGTACCAGCACACCTGCAGCCACTCGGATGGCACGATGACCGACCACCTGTGATGAGAGAGAGTCAAGGGGAAAAAGCGAGAGAGGAGAGGGGAGAGGGCGTGGAGGTTGGACAGGGGGGGATGAAGAAGCACACAGCATCACAGGCTTCCCAAGTCCCACGACTGTACATCTCCTGCCCACCCTCACCTTCCCCTCCCCATCTTTCTACACCATCCTGCCATTCGTCTCACTATCCCTTTCCTCGCTATCACCCCGCAGCACCAGGAGCGCGCCTCACCACACCTGGTCACGGCAACACCACACCTGGTCACGGCAACACCACACCTGGTCACGGCAGCACCCTGCATGGCACCGCACCCATGCTTCACCACCACCACATCACACCCTGCCTGCTCTCCACACACCTCTCCTCCACACGCCCCATCTCCTCCTCCCCGCCCCTCCCCACCACTCCCCCCCTCCCCTCTGCCCGCCTGCCACTGCACCCACTGCCCCGCCACGCTCTCCCCCATGCGCTGTGCCTCCCGCGCCCCCATCAGCCCCTGCAGCTTGAGCGCGCGGCGCCACGCATCCAGCAGGCGCTGGGGGGGCGGGGCGGAGAGGGGGAGAGGGGTGGTGCTGGTCACAGCGGCTGCTGTGCCTCTCACCTCTCCTCCTCGCTGCCCTCCCACACCTTCACGCGTCTCCGCCCTCTCCTCCCCACTATCACCCATTGTCAGCCTCGCCTCCTCTTCCGCCTCCCATGCGTCATGCATTTCCATGTGTGACTCATTGCCCCCCCCCCTGCGTGCCCCATGCTCCCCCCGGCAGCGTGCTGCCCTGTGCTGCTCTCTCGGAATCCACAGAGTGGGAGCAGCGGCAATGGACGCCCCATCCACCGATCCTGCCACATCTCTCCACCAATCGAAACACAGACCACCCTTGTGTAACACATCAGCACTCCCAGTGTGCTGTCCATGAGAAGAGCCTATCCGCCCTCCAGGCGCCCCACCAGCTACCCCACCAGCCTCCCTCCCCCTGCCTGCCAGCAGCCGCGCGTTCACCGCTCTCAACCCCACCACGGCCCCACCAGGGAGGTGCGCCCCCTGCTCTGCCAGCACCTTCCAGGACGCTTCTGACTGCTGCAGGCGCGCTGATGCTGCAGCGGACGAGGCAGAGCGGCCAGCAGGCGAAGCAGAGGTGGGGGCAGCAGGGGAGGCAGAGGCGGCAGGGGCAGCAGCAGCAGGGAAGGGTAGCGGCAGCAGCACGGGGGAGAGGGTGTTGAAAGGGGCGGAGGGGCGCAGCACGGAGAGCAGCAGGGGGAGGGCAGCTCGCCCCGCCACCTCCAGCCGACACAGCTCGCCCTCACGACTCTCCACACTCACCCGCCTCCGCCTCCACCCTTTCTGCTCGCTGCTGCTCTCCTGGTCCAGCTGCTGACTGGCGGCTGTGAGGGCGGCCAGGGCGTCGGGCAGCATGAGGGCATGCACCCACACCCACACGCACCTCTGCCGCCGCTGCTCCTGCTTGCGCCGCCCCTGCTTCTCTCTCCGCCGCTGCTTCCATCCAAACCCCTCGTCCTTTTGCCCTCCCTTCACCTCCCCACCGCCTCTCTCTCCCCCGCCACCCTGACCGCTAGCAGCACCAAGGACAGCGGTGGCACCCGGCGCACGAGCGGTGGCACGAGGCGCACGAGCAGCACCATCACACCCTTGCTCTGCCGCACACGCCACTGCCTGCCACATGAAACTGGCCGGACCAATCACGTCGCTGCTGCTGGTATCACTCGACACGGAGCAGAGCTATTCGGATGGGGACGAAGGGAGACAGTGGAGATGGGAGACAAGACAGAGGAGATGGGGGACAGTGGAGATGGGGGACAGTGGAGATGGGGGACAGTGGAGATGGGGGACAGTGGAGATGGGGGACAGTGGAGATGGGGGACAGTGGAGATGGGGGACAGTGGAGATGGGGGACAGTGGAGATGGGGGACAGTGGAGATGGGGGACAGTGGAGATGGGGGACAGTGGAGATGGGGGACGGGTGAGGTTGTGCAGGAGAGAGGAGGTGTGGGATGCGGGAAAATGAGGAGGATGATGGTGACGCTTGGATTGTTGGGGGGTGGAGGATGAGGCATGCTCACGCAGACTGCCGTGCCAGTTGAGGTATCACGGGCACAGAAGAGCCGCAAGGTGTAACACGCAGTGGCTGCCACATATAAAGGTCAAAGTGGTAAATGCTGTAGCATGTAAGGCTATCAACCCACAGCAATGCAATCACAGAGCTAGAAAGAGCCACCACGGCAGTCACAGTCTCACCACACCTGCCTCCCCCTCCCACCACACGTGCCCCCCTCTCTCACCAGCGCTCTCAGCTCCAGCACTCCCCGCCTCCATGCCTCCCCCCGTGCCGCCTCACCCGCCCCTCCATCACCCCTGTCTGTGCGTGCAGCATGCGCCGTGTGAGGGGTGGCAGGCGCGGGGCGAGAGGCGAGGGGGAGTGCGCCTGGGGAAGTGCAGCAGGCGAGCAGAGCGGAGATGTCCGCCTGGGCGGGGGGAGGGGTGGTGGATGAATGGACGGGTGCATGGGAGGGGAATGGGTAGACAGAAGATTTTCTGGGTGAGAGGAAGAAGGGAAGTTGAAGAGAGAGCAGGAATCAGAGACACAACGCGCCACAGAAAGAGGGCAAAAGGGAAAGAAAGGAAAGGGGGTTGGGGGAGGGCGGGAGGCAAGTGAACCGCCTCGTGGCTTCCACAGCTGCCATGCCGCATGCCGCCTGTCCGTCTGTGCCTGCTGCTGCGCTACACACCCTGTCACGCACGCACGCAGTGGTCACCAGGGAGGCTGTGGGGGACAGGCGAGCAGCCTGACATGCATTCTGAAACAGCAGAGTGGCAAACTTCTGACTCATGGTGGGAAGTGCGACATGGTGGGAAGTGCGACATGGAACAGCAAGCTAGCAGTGGGCAGCCCACCTGCGCGCCAGTGAGCTGGATGGCGGAGTGGTACGACGCGTCGTGCAGCACGGCCGCCCTGCCCACCGCCTCCACCACCGCCCGGCTGCCACGGCCCCTGCACGCGCAGGGAGGGGCGACAGGGGCGAGAGACGGAACGAACTGGTAAGTGAGTAGACAGGGGATGGGACAAGGAATGGAGCAGTGGCGCGAGCACGGGGCATGATGGATGCTCTGTGCTGCACCGCACATGTCATCATGCGGCCGCACCTGCCATGCAGCCTCGATGCCAGCCTGTAACCCCACGTGTCCACCATGTGGAATCGCTTTGCATGCCACATGTGACTCGCCACCCGCCTCGCCCTCCCGTGGCTCCCCCCTTCGTTCCACGCCCGCCCTCCCCCCACCCCCTGCTTCACCCGTTTCGCCTGCGCCCATCTGCGCACTCGCCTGCACGCCTTGCCTTCTCCTTCCGTCTCCCCTTCCCCCCACTCTCTTGCATCCTTCTGCGCCTCCCCTCCCTCCTCCTCCTCCGCGCCCCGCGTCCCGCTGTCCACGTGTCCCTCCAGTGCCGTGACCTTGACGCGCTTTCGGCGAACCTGCCCCGCGACCACTCGCGCCAAGCCCCCGCGCCCTCGTCGCAGGTCCTCACGTGCATCGCCCGCCCCGCTCGTTCCGCCCACCCCCTTCGTTCCGCCCGCCCCGCTCTTTCTGGCTCCCCCGCGCCGCACGAAGCTGCTGGTCCGTCGGATCAGGTGCCGCGGCGTGCCGTGCCTCACGGCCACTCGATCGCGCCGTCGCCGCGCGCCCCACTCGCGCCGCCCCACCACGCGACGCCCCTCGCTTCCTCCTCCGCGGCCTTCCGCCGCATCTCCCGCCGCACTATCCGCTCGGCCGTTCCGCTCCCCGCGTGGGTCGGCCCCAGGCGCATTGGCGGCAGCGCCGACCGTTGGGGCGCGCGCGCGGTCGAGCGCGGCGTAGAGGGCGGCGAACTCCGACGAGCGCGCCGCCGCGAAGTCCCTCACGCGCACGCGGTGAGGCAGCATGCGGAGAGCGGAGGGTGGGGAAAAGGGAGGGACGGTGTAGAGCCGGGATTCTGGCGTGTGAGCCCTTGGCAACTGCGCTGTGGTATTGACTGGTCTGGGAGACGCGGGTGTGTGCGCAATGTGTGCGCGCGGGGCGAAGAAACGGTTCAGCAGATGTGGTGGCGCGAGCAGACGATCGCCCTGCTTTGGTCCATTGGCATCACCCCTTGCGCATGATTCCTGGTAATGCCATTACATGTTCGCTCGCAAGATCACAATTTGATCACTATTTGACTCGGGGTGGCGTGGGGTGAGCGGACTAGTCGTTAAAGTGGAATGGGCCCGACGCGACGCGCGGACGTCGAAGACGCATGGCCGGCAACGTACAGGGAGGCTCCCTGTTCAAACTACACGATCGTTATACGGACCGCCTCGCGCCACGCCACTGCTCTGATGCTGTACGCTCTGCGCCTCCCACTGCTCTATAGCGGGGTAGACTGAACGGTGTGGACGTTCTTGGAAATCAAGCCATGCAGACAAGCACTGGCCGCGGAATTTTCTCGACATTAGTGCATCCTGCAACACAGCGTAGAGCAGCAGCCGTTGTTCGCCCGTTACTGCTAACGGGGCTTCGCCGACTTCGCGCACACTGTTTTCACCAAACCATGCACCGCTGGCCCGGCCGTGTCGGCCTACACTTCGAGACTAGCCCGAGCCTCGATGCCAGCCTAGCACTAGCTAGCTCGCACGTGTTACCGTTTGCATGTTTCGCGTATAAATGTTTGCTCATGCCTTCGCTCACATTGTGTACTCGTTTGACACTTAGTGCAATCCTCGATACCTCGATTCATTGCACCTGTAACACTTAGTATTCAAAGCCTCTTTCTTTTCGGACCGCGCATCTCCGCACCCCAGGAAATCAACTTTTGATTTTTTCACTTGAAGGGACTCACGCACCTTAGCCTCCAGGAGCTGCTGTCCTCGCGTTCTCTCGTAAACGCGTGCAGCCACGACTGCGCCTAGACTAAGTCGAGCCGACACCCTTCGTAATGGCCGAACACATCGATGCCACGACACTCACGCAGAACCGCCTGGACGAGCTGCTGCGACAACTGCACAAAAACTCAGAAGAAATCGCGGCGCTGACGGCGGAACGCACTTCCCTGCAGAACGATGTCGCACGAGCACAACAAGCACAATCACAAGCATCCGGCACTCCGGTACAACCCGCACCACAGGCATCGCAACACGGAAGTGTGGGGCAACCCGCGAGCGTGGCCAGTGATGGCGTCGTCCGCCACGACGGAGACTGTCAGAACATTATAGCTTATACATTAGTGTAGGCTGTAGTGGGGTAGCCCATAAGGGGTACAACCCAATTAGGATTAGTACTTGTACCCAACTCTTTCATAGTCCAATCATTCTCGTTCTCTTTTCTCATGGTATCGAGCAGGTTCCCTGGTGGGAACTGTTCCTAGGGCCCACAGACTTTTTTTTCCTGCTCGGGACGTGTCCCGCCCCTGCCCGAAGCGCGCTTAGGGTCGCGCCTGTCAGAACATTATAGCTTATGCTTTTGTGTAGGCTGTAGTGGGGTAGCCTATATGGGGTACAACCCAATTAGGGTTAGTACTTGTACCCAACTCTTTCATACTGCATTCATTCTCGTTCATTCTCACATGGTTTCAGAGCACATATGCTCCTGGCCTGTGGGCCCTACTACTGCTTTCGCTGCTACTCGATCTGTCGCACGCCCCTTTGGCGCGCGGCGATTTTCTCTCTGGCGCGCGGCCCCGTTCCTTCTAGGCGCGCCACTCCCCGCTACCCCGTCGCGGCCCCATCTCGTCGCGCCGCCCTAGCGGCCGCGTCGCGCCGCCCTCGCGGCCCCGATCCGCCGCCCTAGCGGCCCCGTCACCTACCCCTGCGGCCCCGGCGCCGCCCATCCCGGCCCCGGCTCCGCCCTTCCTGGCCCCGGCGCCACCTCGGCTGGCCCCGTCGCCTACCCCGGCGACCCCGACGCCGCCCTTCCCGACCCGGCCCCGCCTCTGCTGGCCCCGTCGCCTGCCCCTGCGGCCCCGGCTCTGCCCTTCCTGGCCCCGGCGCCACCTCGGCTGGCCCCGTCGCCTACCCCGGCGACCCCGACGCCGCCCTTCCCGACCCGGCCCCACCTCTGCTGGCCCCGTCGCCTACCCCTGCGGCCCCGGCGCTGCCCTTCCCGGCCCCGGCGCCACCTCTGCTGGCCCCGACGCCGCCCTTACCGGCCCCGGCGCCGCCTCTACTGGCCCCGTCGCCTACCTCTTCGGCCCCGGCGCCGCCCTTCCCGGCCCCAGCGCCGCCTCTGCTGGCCCCGTCACCTACCCTGCGGCCCCGGCGCCACCTCTGCTGGCCCCGTCGCCGCTCCACCTGGCCCCGCCGCCGTCCCCAAGCGGCCCCGCCGTCACCACCGAGCCGCCGGCGCTGCCGAGCTGCTACCGAGCCGCCCGAGCCGCCGGGTCGCCGAGCCGCCGAGCTGCAGTTGCTGCCGAGCCGCCGTACCGCCGAGCCGCCCGAGCCGCCCGAGCCGCCCGAGCCGCCCGAGCCGCCCGAGCCGCCGAGTCGCCGAGCCGCAGTTGCCGCAGAGCCGCCCGAGTCGCCCGAGCCGCCGAGCCGCAGTTGCTGCCGAGCCGCCGTGACGTCGAGCCGCCCGAGCCGCCCGCACCGCCGAGTTGCCGAGTCGCCGAGTCGACGAGCCTGCTCTTCCCACCACTAGTGAGCCCCTGCCCTGCTAGCGCACTGCCCGCCGCTTGCTTACTTGCCTGCCTGCCTGGCTGCCTGCCTTACTGCTGCTACTCCTGCTCCTGCTCCTACTGGCGGAGCCAGATGCAGCCCCAGCGACGTCCGCGTACGTCCCTCACGCCCCAGCAGCTGCGTGAGTGGTACGCTGGTTGGGGTTGTAGGGGTGGCGGCGCTGCTACTGCTACCACTACTGCTGCTACTACTACTGGCGGCGCCCAGATGCAGCTCCAGCGACGCCCACGCGCTTCTCTCACGCCCCAGCAGCTTCGTGAGTGGTACGCTCAGAGTAGAGGGTCTCTCAGTTCTGTTCGCTGCTCTTACGTGATTCGCACTGGTGCTCGGACTGGTCAGCCTTGTGGGACACCTAGTCACACACAGTCCCGCTGCTTCGCCTCTCTGAGCGACGCCTGGCGTACCGAGTTTGGCAACGAGGCTGAGCTCCCCGACTGGGTGGAGTTGCTTAGGCAGAGGGTAGATATATTTGCTCTTGACTATGATGCTATTCTCACTGCCATGTATGCATTGCCTACTAGTGCTGACCGTGCCGGTCACCTGTGCGTACCGCCTGACCCGGGTATAGAGCCTGCTGCTCTAGCTGCTGGTGAGGCTGCTGCTCTGGGTGCTAGTGAGTCTCCTGCTCCAGGTACAGGTGCGGCTGCTGCTCTAGGTGATAGTGAGTCTGCTTCCTCAGGTGCGGGTGAGTCTGCTCTCTCAGGTACCGCGTCGGCTCCGGCCGAGCCAGATGCAGCTCCAACGACGCCCACGCGCGTCTCTCACGCCCCAGCAGCTTCGTGAGTGGTACGCTCAGAGTAGAGGGTCTCTCAGTTCTGTTCGCTGCTCTTACGTGATTCGCACTGGTGCTCGGACTGGTCAGCCTTGTGGGACGCCTAGTCACACACCGTCCCGCTGCTTTGCACGTCTGAGCGACGCCTGGCGTACCGTGTTTGGCGACGAGGCTGAGCTCCCCGACTGGGTGGAGTTGCTTAGGCAGAGGGTAGATATATTTGCTCTTGACTATGATGCTATTCTCACTGCCATGTATGCATTGCCTACTAGTGCTGATCGTGCCGGTCACCTGTGCGTACCGCCTGACCCGGGTATAGATCCTGCTGCTCTAGCTGCTGGTACGGCTGCTGCTCTGGGTGCTAGTGTGTCTCCTGCTCCAGGTACAGGTGCGGCTGCTGCTCTAGGTGCTAGTGAGTCTGCTTCCTCAGGTGCGGGTGAGTCTGCTCTCTCAGGTACCGCGTCGGCTCCGGCCTCTCACACCTTCACCCTTGACTCGGGGGCTTCCCGCTCCTTCTTTCGAGACTGCACCACACTCACGCCACTTGGTCGGCCAGTTGCAGTCTCTCTGGCAAACCCCTCTGGGGGCCCTGTCCTTGCTCACTTCTCCACTGTCCTCCCATGTCCGGCGACCCCCTCTGGCACCCTGTCTGGTCTTTACCTCCCCTCGTTCTCTACGAACTTGGTGAGTGGTGCTGACCTGCAGGATGCGGGGGTTCACCAGTTCACTCCTGCGAGTCAGCGGGTGACCCACTGCACGGACGCTCGGACAGGCCGACACCTGGCCACGTTTACTCGTCGGTCGGGGTCGAGCCTGTACTCACTGACCACTGCGTCTCCTCCAGTTGCTGAGCCTGGTAGGGTAGCTGTGTCAGGTCAGGTGTTTGCTGCAGCGTCCAGGTCTGGTCCTGAGTCTGCCCCCTGTTAGTGTCGTCTCCTGTCTCACGAGACTCTCCTCTGGCACCACCGCCTTGGTCACCCCTCTCTGCTTCGGCTCAGAGGCATGGCCTCTCGTCTTCTTGTTTCTGGCCTCCCCCGGTCCCTCCCTCCCCTTCCTCAGGGCCCTGGCCCTACCTGTGTCCCCTGTGTCGAGGGGCGCCAGCGTGATGCCCCTCACTCCTCCCAGTTTCCTCCGACAGAGGCCCCGTTGCAGACGCTTCACATGGACGTGTGGGGCCCAGCCCGCGTCCGTGGAAAGGGTCACGAGCGCTACTTCCTGCTCGTTGTTGACGACTACTCGCGTTACACCTCAGTCTTCCCCTTGCGCAGCAAGGGTGATGTCACTGCGGTGCTGATCGACTAGATCGGCGCAGCTCGTCTCCAGCTCAGGCAGAGCTTTGGCTCGGACTTTCCTGTTCTGCGTCTGCACTCTGACAGAGGCGGAGAGTTTTCCTCTGGCCTTCTGAGAGCCTACTGTCGCGCACGGGGCATCCGTCAGACCTTCACGCTTCCGGACTCTCCGCAGC